CAGGAGTCTTTTCCAGCATCATAGTTCAAAGGCCTCAATTCTTTGGTACTCAGCCTTTTTTATGGTCCAAATTTTATAGCCATGCATTGCAACTGGAAAAAACATAGTCTTGACTATAAACACTTTTGTTGGCAGGGTGATGTCTCTGCTTTTTATTATGCTATCTAGATATGCCATAGCTTTCCTTCCCAGGAGCAAGCAATTAATATGATTATAAATAAGCTAATATAATTATAAATATTGCTATAATTATTATATGTATTACCATATAGCACTATCAGTATATCTGTTATTTTTCCCTTTCGTTAACCAAAGTGCCTGGATAATACATTATCTTCAAAATATTTATATATAAATTAAAGACTTGACTTTAAAAAAAAGAATGTAAAATTGTGATGACTAGTAACCAATGGGAATTCTACTAGCAGAAGACAGATATATTTCAGAGGTGGGTTGCTACTGGTTCACACCGGTTCGGCCAAAGAGGTAGTGGAATGTTGGCATGGGTCGCAGAACTGGCAGCGACCCAGGCTGGCCACACCTCCGAACCGGTTCCCTGGTTGCCGCTGCCGGCATGGTTTTTTTGTTCTTTTTTAATGTTCTGCGCATGCACAGAATTATTTACAGGCAATGGTGCATGCGCGCAAAGCTTGCGCGCAATGAACTGGCAGCAACACCAGCAGCAACCCACCCCTGATATATTTGTACAATGAATAAGGGTTCATGTGTTGGACTAGGAGAAGAAAAACCCAGGTTTTAGTCTACCTCAGACCTGGAAGCATAGTTGGTGACTTTGGGGCAGCCATTTTCTCTCAGAACAATGTATCTAAGATTGTTGTTTTAGGTAAAAATAAGAAGGATCATAGTGTATACTGTACCTCTTTGAGTTCCTATTGGAAAGAGAGGATATAACAACACAATAAATAAATATTTGTCCATTTAAGTCTCTTATTTCAGCAACTGCTAATATTAGCCTACTACCTCTAATTTACTTTTGTAGTTGATTTTTATGTCATCCATCTCACTGATGCAGCTACTTTGGGCAGCTATGTCTGAGCTAAACAAATAGCAATCATGAGGAGGTACTATCTAGGAATGATTGGAGCTGCAGTCCAGCACAACTCAGAGGTAGGTGCCACTCTTAGAGTAGATTTTATACGCTGTTTGTCTCTTAAGTAGCAGCTCTGCAATCTTTAATGGAGCAAGTCATTATGACACTTATTTTGTAGGATGCTATCATTCGTTAAGCAGCAAGGAATATGCTGGTCCATAAATATCCATGCACTTCCGTGGACATTGCTGTTAAATGAACATGTTGGAGACCACACCTTCCAATGTAATATTCACTAGAGAGGCCTATTATTCCAACTGGCTTATATAAGGCCTTACTTGATTTCCTATTCCTCAGATACACAATGAAGACAGACTTTGAAAATTAATGCAGTGGATTCTACCAGGTAAGCTCCTTTTTCTCCTATGTTATTTACATATTTCACTTCCAAGCCAAGAAAGCACATGTTCTTTTTTCTTTGGTTGCAGTTGTAAAAAAAAAGCCTTTAGGTTTATTGGAATAACACACTGAGCTCATTTTAATGTACTGTATATTCAGCCTTGAAGCTGAAAAGATGTTTGATTTGAAAACAGATGTCTCCTGACATACCTATCAATTGTGTATTCCCATTATTCAGCTTTACTTCCGCCTTTCCACATTTCCAAATCGGCATAGACACTATTTATATTGCAGAATTCTTTATCCCAGCTTATTTGTTTTGTAAAGTAGAAGTTTAATTATTAAACAGTACATCAGCACATCAGCTAAAGAATAATTGCATTGTAATTGTTCCCTGCAAGCTGGTTTTCTATTTATATTTTTGATGCAACTGAAAATGAAGGAAAGCCTGCTTGAAAGGAAAAAGAAACAGAGGAAGAAATACATTTTTTTCATCAGGGAGCGGACCAGAATCTCTCCCCCACTCATATATGTATTTGCACTATTTTAACAACCCTTTGTTTTCTCATTCATATTATAATCAATTATTATCTTTTGTTTATAAAAAGAACCCACTTTCCAGCGATACAAAAAAAAATACAAGATTAAGCACACAAAAAAATCATTTAGCCAATGCACAATCATATGCTATTCATACATATGTACACAGCGCTCCTTCTGGCTCAGAGAGCCTCTAATTTCAATATGATTATTTTGAAAAACTGAGCTGTTCTCTTCCGTCTTTCTCCATTTTTGTGTGGGTTTTTTTTTTTAAAAATTACTTATTTGTCCAACTAGAAAAATGAAGATATTGGGCATGAATGCATTTATCCAGCCTCCCAGCAGTCTTGTTTAAGCTACAGGAAAGGAAAAAGCAGAAGCACTCCATCCATTCACCCACCCTGGCAAGCAATTTGGTAAGTTTGGGAAGAGAATAATGATGAGAGAATCATAAACTTGGTACTTGGTGGAAGAGAAGATGACAAGAAAAAGTTGTAAGTAGAAAATATTAGAGAGATACATTAGAATACTGAGAAATATATACCATTCAGGGTAGGTAATTTGCTAGCGAAGAGCTCTTCAGTCATAGATGTCATAGGTAAGGTGGCAAGAATATATTTTACTTGCTGATCTGGACAAACAGATGTTTCCTTTCTCTTTCTCCTGTTAATCTGGGGCCAGATTATATGAGAGAGACAAGAGTAATTCAGGTAATAGTGAGTAACCCCACCTTCTCTGAGATTGTCCACAAATACCCCCCTGCCTTACATTCCTCATATGGAATCAAGTTGTAACTCTTGTAGCATCTGTCTTTGTTCCTTCATCTTCAAGGATTTGATCAAACCACTTTGAACAAATCCTTCTTTGGCATTCCTGTGCACATTGTCATACGACCTTCTATAAAAATAAAAATAAAATTCATTTTTTAACAAGGAGATCTGATAACCCTCTGAAATTCCCCTTTGCCTCTTCCAGTATTTCCTTGTGTAGGAGTCCCCAAAATGCATCTTAATTCTCCCTTCTCTTTCTCTTACTGGGCAGAACCCTTCAATACAGAAATATCTAGTTGTTCCAAAACCCTGTTACAAATTAAATGGGGGGAAACCCTTCCTTACTTTTATTAAGACCTTGTCTCAAAAGCTGAATAGGTAAATTTGTGTACAACCTCCAACTGTCATAGCAATAGCACTTAGATTATACACCGCTCCATAGTGCTTTACTGTTGAGAGAGACTGGGCAGTTTACAATGCCAGCATATTGTCCCCAACAAACTGTGTCCTCATTTTACCCATCTTGAAAGGATGGAAAGCTGAGTCAACCTTGAGCTGGTCAGTCAGCTGAGTTAGCCTGCAATACTGCATTCTAACCACTGTGCCACCACAGCTGTCTTGTCTAGCTGGTAAAACTGAATTCATCTTTAAATTTCCCTGTTTCAATGATCACAGAAATGAAAAAATGGGAAGAGATGCGGCTTGAATCTCAGCAATAGGACGTGTTCTCCGGTTCTCTGAAGAACCGTCAGATTCCCTGCTATGTTGAGGGGTATTTAACCATAGCTGTCCTGGAGGGACAGAGAACAGGAGGGGCGCATGGGAAGGAAGGAAGGAACAAATATACAAACCTTTTCATATTTTTTTTTAAAAAGGTAAAATATATAACAGATGAGCATATTGATTGATGGCAAAGATAAAAACTAAGAATGATTCCACAGTGACACATCAAGAAAGAGAAGACCTGAATAATGTTGAATATTAAACCAATGGGATTATACCAGATCGAATGATGACACATTTTTCATTTAGTGCCTTAGGCTACAATAGCAATCTTTCAACTTCTGACTCATATTGTTTCCCAGTGTTGGGGATCACATTTTATTTATTTTATTTTATAATAATATAATAATATAATAATATAATAATATAATAATATAATAATATAATAATATAATAATATAATAATATAATAATATAATAATATAATA